GAGCTAGTAAGGCCGAACGCTCCGTTCTTAGAGTAAAAGTGCGAGCTTTGCGCCAAAGTGACGTCACTAGAGGAAATCGGAGGATTGGCGCGGCAAGAGTTACTTCAAAGAAGTGAACCAGCCCTTCTATTCTCTTTAGCCCTGGAAACAGCTGCGATGTTTATTGAATTGAATGCAGAAGTAAGAATAACACACAGCTTACATGTACTTAGTGAATGATTCATTGCACACTATATCGAAAGCCCATTAGACAAAGCCAAGTAGACAAAGTGTTATCTATCATACAACAAAAAATACATTGTCGATGATAGTTTGAATTTATTCAAACTTATGGTTTGAAGCAAAAGTTGATCTGCTAACGTTGAAGTTATAGAATGGTTTTGAACTCTTATCTTCTTTTATTGTTAAATGTGTGATTTTTCTAACGAATTTATATTTATTTATCATTTTTTATTGCTATATGAAAATTACTTTTCTTAAAGTTGTCTATTAATATTTTTAAAAAATTTTATCTATTTATTCTGTATTTTTATAAAAATGCTTTTAAACTCTTAGGAGCCATTCTTGTAGAGAAACCAAATATAAAATGGTCTGATGTTGCTGGCTTAGAAGGTGCAAAAGAAGCCTTAAAAGAAGCTGTTATTTTTCCTATTAAATTTCCCCTTTTTTTTACCGGTAAAAGAAAACCTTGGAAAGGAATTTTATTGTTTGGTGTAAGCTGTATTAAATAGATATTTAAAATATTCTGCGTCCTCTAGTATGCAGAAATACTGTTTTGCACTGTATAATACATATTTCTCTTTTAGCCTGCTGGAACAGGAAAATCTTTCCTGGCAAAAGCAGTTGCCACTGAAGCAAATAATTCCACCTTTTTTTCTGTCTCACCTTCAAGTCTACTTTCTAAATGGAGCGGTGAAAGTGAAAAGTAATTATTTTTATGATAATTTATTTAAAATTATTCCCCATATTCTAATTTTTACAAAAATGTCAATCTTTGACAACTGTAACTAGTAAAACTAAAGTTGTATCTTAAAAATATGTTTAACTGTATTTTGTTATATATTGTTATGGTGCGTGTGATTTTAATTAAGATTTCAAATTTCAAAAATTAAACCATAAAAATTAAAATCTAAAAATAACTTTAAATTTTCGCATATTTTTGAGTTTAACACTAGATTGCCTAAGGAAGTCATTTTGACTGCTTTTAATTTTAATTAGAAAAACAATGATGTATATAATGACACAATTTCTTAGAATTTTGTGACTTTTTGTACAACATATAATTTTTTTTATTGTTAATATTTACTAATAACTTGTTATGTAACTGTAGATAATATTAAAAAAAAATGTTAAAAATTAATTTTAAACAAATTTATTTACGCATTCAAAATCCCGTCATTTTGACTGCTTCTGGGCAATATAGGTATATACTAATTTTCCGTCCTTCTAGTGTTAAACAATGCGATGGTGGAGTAACTTTTTATATATTAGAAAAATCAAATGCTTTTCATTCTCACAAAACTCTGATTTTTTTTTTACTCTGACATTTTGTGCCATTAACATAATTAGCATTGATGACGCATGCAGAACTGAACCTGACAGTCATTTATAACTCATGGTTATTTAAATATTATTGATCCAAACGTTTTAAAAATTAGGAGTTGTCGACGGACCCCCAAAATATGACTGATGGACCCCTAAGGGGTCCATGAACCACAAGTTAAGAAACCCTGCTGTAAAGAATGTAAATTAGCTAAATGTAAAAGAATTTCGTTTAAACCAAATTTAAGTATAACGTCTTAAGAAGCCTTTAGAACTTTTACATATGGACGTATGTGGGCCAATGCCTGTCATTTCACATGGTGGAAGTCACGTGAAAGTATTTTCTTTCTATCACTGACGATTTTTCAAGGAAAGTTACCGCTTTTCCCATTAAAAAAGAAATCTGATGTTTTTAATAGTTTCATAAGATATCAAAAACGAGCTGAAAGATTTTTAAACTGTAAAATTGTAAATGTTAGAACTGATAATGGCATGGAATTTTGCCATAAAGAGTTTTGTGATTTTCTTGAAAATGAAGGTATAAAAGCTGAGCGTACTAATGCTTATACGTCAGAACAAAATGGTGTTTTGGCGTATTTTTCTAGTATTGTAACAGTTGAGAATTATTTTTTATTCTACCAATTTAATATGTTTTAAAATAAATGTATTGCTTTAGAAACTGCGTTATCTTTGTTTTGTTGACAAACAGATACAATGATATTCTGCGACAATCTCGGATGTCAAACCATCGATTTTGGTATTTACTTGATTTAACAGTTACGTATTGCGATTTTTATTCTCGCGATTTAAATATCGTACATTGTTATTCCTATTTACGACATATAAAAATCCAATATCGCGATTTGTATTTATGCATTTTTAAACCCTATGTAATGATTCGTATTCGCGCGGGTTTAAATGCCAATGTCGTGATTCGTTTAAGCGGTTGTAGTTTCCAACATATGTATATTTTCGTATTTATAAGTGATTTAAAAATGAGACATTGTGATTCCTAATCACGCTATCTAAAAATTACTCATCATGATTTGTATTTTTACATTTTTGAAATCCAATTCACATGGGTTTCATATTCATGATTTAAAAACCATGTATCAGGATCCATATTCTCTAAATTTACAATTAAATATTGCAATACTTATTTACACGATTTTAAAATCGTGCATGTGATTCATATTTATGTGAAGTGATTCATATTCATACAATTTTAAAATTAATCATCGGGATTTATAATCAGATGGTTTAAAAATTGCTGTCAAATTTTTGGATATCATAGCTTCTACATATTATTTTATGTGTGTGTTATGAGTGTGTGTAACTTAAAAAGCTTCAATTAATCTTTTTATGTTATTCTTCTTCTGTAAATCCTTTTCTTAATTTATTATTTAAATCGAAGCACTTTCTCACACTTTTAAATTCACACCCTGTCCTTTAACCTATTTTTGGTTCAAGTATGCATTAATAACAGTAAGACATTTTTCCCTTTGCTCTTTCTGGAAATCGTGCGACCTATTTAATAAAACCAATTACAATTGCTAAGATTTCCCTTATTCCCTAAAATAAAACATTTTACGGATTTGCTTTGCAAATTTTCCATTACTTTTATTGAGGAGCACAACGATTTCGTGTCCACTTTGATAACTGTTCTCTGTCTAATAATTAGTAAATAAATTTTGTACCTAAGACCTGTTTTTATACTTCCACACGACAACGACGTTACATATGTACATATCTTGGCCAAAGAATACCTGGTTTGCCATGGTACATATATAATATTATATATATATATTCTTGGATTTCCTCTTCTTTGCTTTCTGATTTCTCTCATCCCTGTATAACGACAGAGCTTTAAAATAAGCTGGAAGCTTTTTTAAGAGGGAAATGAAAATCATGTTTCTTTAAATATTAGATTTGTTCAAGTTTATGCGCATTTTAAAAATATTATAAAATTGTTATTTATTTATTTATTTTGAGCATGAAAAAAATTCTTTCAAAAGGCTATAATTTTAAAAACATAAAAAAATATTTATTAAGAGATTTGAGCTTTGTTATAAATTTTGGTCTTTTAGCTATACCAAGACTTTTTTTTTCTGTAGATGGAATCATATGCTAATATCATTCTTTTTCTCTCTGCATTTGAACATACAACTGTATGTAACTATTTATTAGCACATATAGATCATTTTTGAATGGTTTAACCATCTAGTTTCTAGATAATATAATAATATCTAAATACTTATATTCTTCTAACATGAAAGGAAGTTATTTATGTTAAACAAATATTTATGTATAAAAAGAAAAAAAATTCAAAACTTTTGTGCGTGTATAGTTCGTTCACCAGGAGTTGAGACTTGGCTCCACCTCCTCGGACGCAGAGTTCATTTCAGCGCGGGAGTTAGAAGAGAAACATCTCCGTTGTTGAAATTGAGACAACCCTTAATTTGCGCCAAACACAGAAAGTGAATTCTTTTTCAGTCACTTACTTCTGCTAATATACCTTTTGTTACACTAGCTAATTAAATATAGTTTAAATTTAAAAACTGCTGTTCTCCCATCGAAATGTCTCATAAAGGACAAACTATAAGAAACATCATAAAAAATGGTGCAAAATATCATCAAATTTATGAAATATTTATTGTTAAAAAAATGCACATAAAGTTTGCGAAATAAATATTTTTGCCAAACGATCGNATATATATTTTTATATATATATATATATATACAAAGTTCTAAATGTAAGGAAAACATGGAAAAAATTACAGAGCAATGAAAAATGAGAAAAAGATAAATAATAATTATAAAAATCCGAAAAAAGAGAAATAAAAGATATAATCTTTTCATCAGCTCATACGATTGTATCCGCAAAAAGGAGTGCTTTCTAATATTGTATCAATATAACCAAAGATAAAATGTATCAATACAATAATGTGAAGAGTACTCAAAAAAATTTTACAACTTAAATGGAACACATTAAACAAAAATATCATGTAAAAACAAATAATAAAATATAAAGAAAAAAAAATGAATAAAACGAAACTATAAAGCGAGTAGTGAATTCAAATGAACTTATATGAATGGCAAATTTTTCAAGAATAATTTGAAATATTTTCGTAACAAGATTGCCAGATTATAAAATATAAAAACAGAAGCGCAAATTGAGGTAAAAACGCAAATAGAGGAGTTTTGTTTTATACTGCTCTCTTACAACAGTACTGGTCCCGCAGTGGACTGATCGTTAAGACACGGTTCCCAGCAGATCACCGATGTCAAGCATCACTGATAGTGGTCAGTGTGCGGGTGGGTGACCACTTGGATCAGCCTGCGTAGGGACCGAGGGTGTGCGGTATTGGTCCTCTTTAAACTGTTCTACCGTAAAGTGCTCAACTTCGCGTGCAGGTCGTCGGGCTACCGAAGCGGGGGTGCCATCCCCTCCTCAGAGGATCAAAATTGTGATGGCATGTCTTCGGATCATCCTCCGGGATGTTTCCCAGACCGTCACTAATAGCCCATTGTGCAGCTCTAGTGCGACGTAAATGAACAAAAACAACAACTACAGCAGTACTGAAGTGCGTTTGATTTGTTAGTTACCAAGAATAGGCCTAAGAATGGATGTGCGCAAGGTAATATTACTATACTGGATAATTTAAAGAAGTTGACAATTAATAATTTTAGAATATTAACTTTTATTTAAGGGGAGGGGGAAAGAAAAGAGAACGAAACATGAGTTGCCTGTTCTGCACATAATTTTAGCCACGGATTTGCCCGAAATGGATTTGCACATGGTGAAAATTATATTAATTAACAAGGAAGTTTTTTAGTAAATGTATTTACAATAATATACAATTAACTCAATGCTTTTATATAGAATTTAATTACTTTAGTTGGGTATCCATTGTTTTTTTATCAAATTTTGAAAGATAAGCATTACTATATATTCTTTTAACTCTATTCATTTGATTAAAAATGGTATTTAAATAGATGTTCTTAGAAACATTAGAATTCCAAGTATTTAATTTATTTATATTAAAATTAAAATAATTTCTTTTATCGTATAAATCAACAAAGCAGATATTTTCTTTCATAATACCCAAATCCAAAAAATTGAAATTAATATTATCATCAAGATTACAAAGCAATATTAATTCCTCAGGGTAAATATTATTTAATAAAATAGTATAATCTTGAAAATAAAAAATAATTAAATCTTCAAGAAGTCTAAAAACAAATTTAATGTTAAGAGTATAATTTTTTTCATAATAATGCAAAAATAAGTTAGCTAAGAAAGATGAAAAATTAGATCCTTGTGGTATTCCATCAATTTCAAGAAAAATATATTTTCTTTTGTAAAGATAATTATTAAAAAGACAAAAATAATTTGGAATTTCCCGATAATTAAATCACAATTAAGGATATTTTTAAAATCATAGTAATAACTCAAAAGAATATATTTTAGTTTAGAAAGGGGAATGCTATTGAAAAGATCATCGAAATCAAGTGTGGCAATAGAATTAATTTTCTTTTGTTTAATAAATTATAAAATCGCCTTATTATTAGTGATAATCCAAGAAAACCCTTCTTTAATAATATTGTTAATAATTTTATTTAAGTAGTTAGAGAAAATTGTGTCAGGTTTAGTTAGGTAAGTATTAGACCCACATGTGATTGTTCTAAATTTTATAGAAATTTTATGAAATTTAGGATTGATAATTAAATTACTGATAACAGACAAACTCATAAAAAAATATATTTAGAAAAGGGTTTTAAAGTAACAACCCTTGTAAAATTATTACTAATTAGAAAATATTAATGAATGGTATATGTGTTCATATTTATTTTTTGTAAAATGGGGTTCCTTTCATAAAAAGTGAAGTCAGATTTTGCTAGTAACTTCGTGAAAATCTTAAGAGATTAACTCTGTCTACTAAATTGTTTTACAATGTTAACTGAGATATATTTATTGCAAATTTAATAAAATGTATTAGCAAATATTACTATTGAAAAGTTTATTGAAATTCTTTTAATAACAAGCTTCAAGTTTTTATACATTGCATGACTTGTTAATGTATTCTTTTTTGTTGTTGTCCTTTTTAACTAAAATTATGAGTTTGTTTGTCAAAACATTGTAAAATGTACTTACAACTTGCTTTTATTAAGTTCAACTCATACATCACTACTTCATTTTTAAGTATGACTTCAACTTTATCACTTTTATAGGTTAGTGAAAAATCTATTTGATATGGCGCGACAACAAAAGCCTAGTATTATATTCATGGATGAAATAAATTCTTTGTTTAGCTCACGATCTAATAATGAATCGGAATCAGCCAGGGGAATAAAAACAGAATTTTTAGTTCAGATGCAAGGTAATTTTTTTATGTGTCTATATCTATATGACTTTTCTGATTTTCTTCATCGTATAAATATGACTAAAATTATCATGCTATCTATGCATTCTAACGTTTACTATATGTAGGATAAAGGGGGTGAAGCGAG